GCTGAATTAAGCTGCTGTTTGTACATGTGTGAAATTGCAATAAGCCAATGCTTACCTGTTGGAGACCCCTGGTCTAGTCCAACAGTAGAATATAAATGATCCAGCAGCTTCTCTTCCCACTTCAGCGGTAGGAGTCAGAAAATTAAAATTATTTACCTGCAATTTCCCGGGACTGCGCCACAGGAATGAGTCCTAAAACCAGGAAGTAAGTTAGCATTTGAGCGCCATGGGGTCTAACGTCTAAAAGTCAACGGGTTTGTGGTTAGACTCCTGAAATAAGGTCTGTGGTTAACACAAGCTGAAGAGATGTTGGTGTTTTGTTAGAGCACATAAACTACGTTAGGTAATACCTCCACTTGTGAAGTTTGAAGTTTTTACTCGTCTTTAAAAAGGCGGTTGCTAACAAGCGGCTAAATGTGACTACAGTGGTTGTCGGGGTCATTAAAGGTCATCACGCCGGACACAGAGGGCGGGAACTCTCTCACTAGTCGGAGATGTCGCCTGTAGGTTTAATCTTTAGGTTCAGGTGAATATTATGTTAGTAAACTATTTATTAAGCTACGTGGATTAGTTTATCAGAGATCGTCTGAAGCATAACGCTAGTGACGTCACAATCATCCCACCGTGGTGTAGTTAGCTTGTAGCATAACGTTAGCTTTTTACTTCTGTCCGCCGCATTAACGCTTCAAACATCATAAAAATGGCGTTCATCTGTGAAGATTATCCTGCTGAACAAAACGCCTACGCTTCAGAAACGTGTGTTTAACACAGAGATTATTTTCTGCAATGATCCAAAATCCAATGAAAACATCCCAGAGGAGAATTCTCATTAGACCTCATGGAGATGCTACTTCCTGGTTGGCCTACAAAAATACGTCATATGCTGCTTCCCATGCTGACAATCCAGACCACCGTGTATAAAGTAAATAGAGATTACGCTGCTTCTCATCCTTAAATGATTGGTCCATAACGGCTGATTCAACCTTTCTATATCTGGTTTAAACACCTTTTTCTTCTTGAGCTGCTCACTTAAAGAAAAAACAACAACAACGAGGTATAACCGATCACAGTCAGGACCTTCTGTTGATGAATAAAAGATACCAAGACGCACCTTGTTTCCTCACTAAAATACTCTTTGTGTCAGATAATCCTGCTGAAAGACCGCAGCTCCGGGCCACAGAAGAAAGAACAAAAAAAAATAATAATTAGATATCCGTGTGGCCGGGACCGAAGCAGAGCGACAGGGAGGCTGTACATTTATGGGTCATCATCTGTTTTAGTGCACGCGCCCTTCAAGGTTCAAAAGCAGGACGTGGTAATGCAAGTCAATGAGCCCACCAGCCGTTCAGAGCCATGACGTTCAAAGCAAGTGAACACTCAGAGCATTTGGAAATGCATAAATCAGCCTCTTTCCCCTCTGGGTGTTAGTTGTGTATAAATGAGTAAATGTAACAGACAGAGTCGGCTGTCACTGACTCAAAGTGAGACTTTCTTTTATAAATCCAGAGCTAAGACTCTTCATATCACTGCTCCTCCGTGTCTCTGACGGTTAATGTGGACATTATCGAGATAGATGTGGAGAGACTCACCAATAAGGATGTGAATCTCAGGGTTGCTCACGATACGATGGCATACAATACGATATGACACAGGATACGATGCTGTACGATCAATCAATTATAATCGTTATTTGTAAAGCGCCAATTCATAACAAGTGTTATCTCGAGAAGCTTTATGAGATAATGTTCAGGAAGGATTTCTCCTTTGTATAACTTGCGTTCCTGTTGTCCACACTTCCTTGGCGCTGAGGTGGAGGTCGGAGCAGGCCGTGCATGAACGAGGACGGCGGTGGTTGTTTGGACTATACAATCTGATGGTGGAGGCTGGACTTCACGTGGTTGTTGTGGGGACATCACAATCTGATGGTGGAGGCTGGACGTCACGTGGTTGTTGTGGGGACATCACAATCTGATGGTGGAGGCTGGACGTCACGTGGTTGTTGTGGGGACATCACAATCTGATGGTGGAGGCTGGACGTCACGTGGTTGTTGTGGGGACATCACGGTCTGATGGTGGAGGCTGGACGTCACGTGGTTGTTGTGGGGACATCACGGTCTGATGGTGGAGGCTGGACGTCACGTGGTTGTTGTGGGGACATCACAGTCTGATGGTGGAGGCTGGACGTCACGTGGTTGTTGTGGGGACATCACGGTCTGATGGTGGAGGCTGGACGTCACGTGGTTGTTGTGGGGACATCACGGTCTGATGGTGGAGGCTGGACGTCACGTGGTTGTTGTGGGGACATCACAGTCTGATGGTGGAGGCTGGACGTCACGTTGTTGTTGTGGGGACATCACGGTCTGATGGTGGAGGCTGGACGTCACGTGGTTGTTGTGGGGACATCACAGTTTGATGGTGGAGGCTGGACGTCACGTGGTTGTTGTGGGGACATCACGGTCTGATGGTGGAGGCTGGACGTCACGTGGTTGTTGTGGGGACATCACGGTCTGATGGTGGAGGCTGGACGTCACGTGGTTGTTGTGGGGACATCACGGTCTGATGGTGGAGGCTGGACGTCACGTGGTTGTTGTGGGGACATCACGGTCTGATGGTGGAGGCTGGACGTCACGTGGTTGTTGTGGGGACATCACAGTCTGATGGTGGAGGCTGGACGTCACGTGGTTGTTGTGGGGACATCACAGTCTGATGGTGGAGGCTGGACGTCACGTGGTTGTTGTTGGGACATCACTGGACGTCACGTGGTTGTTGTGGGGACATCACGTGGTTGTTGTGGGGACATCACAGTCTGATGGTGGAGGCAGGACGTCACGTGGTTGTTGTGGGGACATCACAGTCTGATGGTGGAGGCTGGACGTCACGTGGTTGTTGTGGGGACATCACAGTCTGATGGTGGAGCCTGGACGTCACGTGGTTGTTGTGGGGACATCACAGTCTGATGGTGGAGGCTGGACGTCACGTGGTTGTTGTGGGGACATCACAATCTGATGGTGGAGGCTGGACGTCACGTGGTTGTTGTGGGGGACATCACGGTCTGATGGTGGAGGCTGGACGTCACGTGGTTGTTGTGGGGGACATCACAGTCTGATGGTGGAGGCCGGACGTCACGTGGTTTTAGGGATGTTACAGTCCGATGGTGGTCGCTGGGCATCAGGCGGCGGTTGTTGGGACAACACAGTCTGAAGATTGTGGCTGGGCGTCATGGGGGCGGTTGTTGTTGGGACGAAGAAGTCATCCCTCCACTTTAAGTTTCCCATCATCGTCCTTTAAGGCCTCTCAGCTCATCTTAAAAACACCTCCATCCTCTGACTCCACTCAATGTTTCTCATCTCTGAGGATGATGCCACGTCAGCGAGCGGTGTCAGCCAGCTCACAGTGGGCGTGTTAACAACGGCTCAAACCCGCCAAACACTCGAGCCGAAGGAGCGCGTTGTCAGGCGACAGGTTGACAGCGTGGAGTGAGAGCTTCAGTTGTGGCTTTCATCTGCTTGTCAAAGGCCGGGGGAAATGAATCATCAGGGCCGAGGGCTCTCTTTAATCTTGTAGATTACGCGCCTCACAGACGGTTTAGGTGTAGATTAAAGTACACAGCGCTACTCGAGGTGAGACACACTGTGGTGTGTGTGTGTGTGTGTGTGTGTGTGTGTGGCTCTATGGCTCTATGAAGAGATGGATGCAGCTTTGGAGACAGACCAACCTCATGTTGGTTCTCCTTTTGAGGCTGAATCATCACAGAAATACAAAATAGTCCTCTTCCATTGGATTCGATTAAAACAGTGAAAACATTAAAATGATAAAAAGCTGAAGTGTTCCGTCTGCATGCTGAAGTTTCTGTGTGGGCATTTAAAAAGTTCATGATCATATTTCTTAGTTTGCATCACAGATGACCTGCAGCAGGTTGTCTTTGCGTAATATAATACTTGAATCGTTCTAAAATAATGTTGGTAATATTCAAAGACTTCATTCTTTCAGCAGAAGGAAACTAAGGGTTCTCTCTTTAATTGAATCTGTTATTCTGGTGATTAAACAATAAATTAAATAACATATATTGTATGCTCACTTTTGCTTTATTCATATAAAAAACAACAACAATGTAAACCTTATAAATCTGAATAATCAGATTTTTTTGCACCATGATTCTTAAAATAAACATTGCTAATTGAATTAAAAAAACCCTCTGGACTGGTTAAACATATCGTCCTCATCAGAATTAATTCAATCTGTATTTTACTTTAGTTCACTTTGTCTTAATTGACTTTCATTACCTTTCACCTGAGGTTTCTGTGGAGAAGAAGAATTAAAAATAAAAAATACTCCAAGAAATAATTTCAAGTAGAGCAAAGAACCAGTCGAGGATCTGGTGGATCATTTGCATTGTGGAGTTCTAAGAATGTCCAGAATCCACTTTTCTCTTTGACGTACTTCAGAGAGGTCCAGCTCTGAAAGGAAGCCGACATTAACCACGACCCTAAAATAAAGACCCCCCCTCGCGTGTCACAGAAATAATACTGTAATGTTTATTCATTCATGTCCTTTGTGCTCATGGTCGTGGGTTCTTAGCGTCTCTCGGAGGTTGTTTTGGTTCCAGCTCTTTGTCGTCTTTCTTCTGTCGGATCACGTTTTCCTGTGAACACAGAGGCCGGTAACCCGAGCCGCCGCCGCCGCTGAGAGCCGGCCGGCCGGCGGCGTCTCGTCTTCTCTGACAGAACGAGCGGTAATCCCAGGTGATGACAGACACACGTCTCAAAGCTGACGCCTCATTGGCCGGATCTGTTGTCTGTCAAAGCCTGTTGTGAAGTGGTGGAATAAGACGGGATGTTTCTGCTCTTACCTGAGCAGGTGAAGTGGAAAAAACTACTTCTACCGTCTGAATGTCAGCCTGACTCACTCCTGCTGGATTCAAATAGAACAACTCGTTGACTGGATGTTTGAAGCCGAGTGACCCGTGAAAACCGGAGTTCTGACCACACTGGAGTCCGGTCATGCCGTCTGTCTGTGTTACTCTGAGACGGGGGATCCTGAGGAGGTACAGACAGGTTCCTCGCACAGAGGCTGACGGAGCGTTCAACTACAGCCGAGCCTCAAACCGGACAGGCCTCCTCAACACGGGTATGTCCGACGCTGTTCTCTCAATCCCACCGCTTCTTTCACACCTGAGTTAGTATATGTGACCTCAAATGATTTAGAAACAATTTAACCAAAACAATGTTTTTAACTTTCTGGAATCAGGATGAATCAAAAAACACGAGTGATGACAAAAACTCTGCATGTTTAGTGCTGAAGATTTTATTTTAAAACTTTTGATCACTGCTGTAAAACTATTCAAAGAAAATGAAAGTATCGCTCTGATACATCTGCTGGGGCTGCAGAAAAACACCCAAGAATTCAAAAGACTTTAAAAAGCAAAACCAGATATTGGAGCGTTTGAACAAAAGGAGAAACATGAAGGAGGTTTCTTGTCATTGTATTAATTTTTACATGTATCATAAATCCAGCCTGTCCTGTGTAAATGTGTCTCTGAGTCCTGACTGTCTACAATGAGGGAGAAGCTCGAGTCCCGCTGGCTGTGTTGTTGTCAGAGCCGTGTTTACATGGACGGGACGGCCGGCTCCTCCCCTTGTGTATAAAAGCTGTTTTAGTCAAGAACTAGAGAGAAGAAGAAGAACATACTCACTGATTATTTGGATGTTAGTAAGAGTTTTTAGATCACGCTCATTCTGTGTCAGTTTACATGAAATGTGAAGCTACGAGCTAACTAAAGAGCGCTAACATTAGCATGCTAGCACAACAATGTGAAGCTACGAGCTAACTAAAGAGCGCTAACATTAGCATGCTAACACAACAATGCAGGACACAGGTGATTGCAAATCGAGCCGAGGACGATGTTGTCTGCTGCTTGCGCTAAACTCCTTCCTGTGAACACGAGGGGTGAGGGGTTGGAGGTGTGTCTCTGGAGGAGGCGTGGCCTAACAGCAGTTTGTTTTGGTTTCATGCTGGTGCTCAAGAGGGCAAAAAGTCACACATTCTGCCTTTAAATAAAGAAATTCATGTAATTGATGTAAATATTTCTTAAAGAATTAGTCGTAACGGTAAAAAAAAAAGAAGTGTGTGTGTGTGTGTGTGTGTGTGTGTGTGTGTGTGTGTGTGTGTGTGTGTGTGTGTGTGTGTGTGTGTGTGTGTGTGTGTGTGTGTGTGTGTGTGTGTGTGTGTGTGTGTGTGTGTGTGTGTGTGTGTGTGTGTGTGTGTGTGTTTCTTCAGTGTTTTGTTTGTTCCGTGGCTCCATCATCCCTCCTCTGTGTAAATCGATAGAAAATAAAGATTATGTTGGTACTCCACTCAGGTGCCGGTCGGGACCGAGCAGCGCTCTGCTCTCTGATGAAAAATCTCTACCCAGCATGCACCTGTGATGAAAACAGATGTTAACGAGGCGTTTTGATCGGCCGCAGAGTAAAACACGGAGTATAGATTTAACATTAAGAGAAGAGAATGCTTTAAATACCTGAGAAGAACATGTTTACGTCTGTAATGACGTGGTCGTGTGTGACGGCAGGCGCTTGTGTTAGCGTTTACATGTTTATCAATCCTCTCTGCCTTTGTGTTCAAGGCTGCAGCGTGATGGATCTGACCTCCTGTAACGACCTCCTCTCAGCCCGCTGACTTAGAGTGTCTGGGTTTCATTTATCAGTCGTGTGACCACCAAAATCTCTCGACCTCCGGCCCTCTCTGTGCGCCGTGATCATGCTGCGTCCTCTGCAGCTCGCGTTGATGCATCGCCTCGATTATAGAGACGAAGCAGAGATGCTCTTATCTGGATTGTTTTAATGTCATTTGGAGCTGATGTCACTCTTGTGCATCTACACAAAGAAAACAATCAACGAGGCTGATCACAATCGACTTAGGAGGTAAATCGATTTCTTTTTGATGCCTCAGATGAAAAATCTGCTCAAGAATTCTTTAACAGGATTTGAATAGTAATCTGTGTTTTTGTTTAAGTTGTAGGTTCTTTAAATAAACAGTTATATCCAACCAGCAGTCAGAAATCTGTCAGTCATTCAGCACATTTTATCCTTTCTTGACTTTGTCAAATATGATCAGGGGAGCCAATCAGAGGATAGTAATAAAGCGTGGAATCAAAAAATCACATCCCTGTCTGCTGTCCCTGAACGCAGCACACAGGACACACACACACACACACACACACACACACACACACACACACACACACACACACACACACACACACACACACACACACACACACACACACACACACACACACACACACACACACACACGCTCTGTAGGAGCCCAGCGTGTGTGTTTCTGTTTACATCTTCACCTTCAACAGTGTGAAGGTTGCCAGACTTCCTGAGCGTTGCTCTCGTCGATAAGAGGTGCTAAAAGGTGACATCAGAAAAAAAAATTTCAGCCTAACTCAGTTTAACATTTCTTCAGAATATATTAAGACACTCAAAAAGCTTATGCAGCGACTAATACTTAGTCTTTTTGATTGATTCCTTAAACCTATTTGAATTGTATTAAACTGTCTTCTTTTAGCTCTGAGTATGAGTGTTGCTGTTTGCTCAGTTACAGGTAACTCCTGCACGCTGTCTCACCTGCAAACGAGAAAGTTGAAGAGATAACACAAACAAGGCAGGTGTTAGGGAGGCAGTAGCTCAGTCTGTAGGGACCAGGGTTGGGTTCAGAGACGGTTCCAGACGGTTCCTGGTTCAAGTCCTGGTTTTGACCAAGTCTGGACTTTGGTCCGGTAGCTGGAGAGGTGTCAGTTCAGCTTCTGAGCTCTGACAGTGAGGCAGCGAACCCCCAACTGCTCGTTCGCTCTGTCATGTGCAGCCCCCTCACTCTGACATCTCTCCATTAGTGAACGTCCAGAGGATCCTGTGTGTGTATTTCAGCCCAACAAGAGTGTAATATTCTTACTTTTGAACCACATGTACGCGTAGACAACCTGCTGCACATGTGCACAACATGTGCTACTCGAGGATTCCTCTAGAGGTAGCACCACATAAATCAGATGATCTGTCGCCAGCTATTTCGGCACCCATGTTTGGATGCTATGCAACGGCAATGACATCATAGTGTGAGTAGTTGCAGACTTGATCTGGTAACTTTTTTCCGCCATGGTTCTAGCACCTCTCGAGTGTCTCCGATGATGTCATTTCCTGTCTCATCACCATATAACTCTATACTGCTCCTAGCAGTTATATGCATATAACATCTCGCAGATGCTTAGCGCTAGATTCTGAGGACGTGCACAACCAACGCTCCAAGTACTGCAATGCTGATGTCAGAGGTACATAAAGGTAAAAGCAAATATACTTGTGCGATTTTTTTAAAGTGATCTTCTAATTCTAGATAAACCTGTGAAAACAATGATCGACGTTGACCAAGACTATAAAATCACTCCAAATTAAAAGCCAGATTAAAAAGGGAGGTAGCTCCCAGAGAGCGCCACATTTTTAATATCCAGATGCAGTTTGGAGTGCCACAGTTTATGGGGATAAAAACTCCTGCGGTTAATAAACATGCTCTTCAAAAGTTCCTCTGACAAGCCCATTAAGAAATACCCAAGCTATCCCTTAAAATGAGGAGGGTACATGCTTAGTTTGAGGGGTTTTGTTGTCACAGAAATATGTTACATGAAGTCCAGTATCAGGTCAATGTTTATGAAGAAAGATGAACAGAAACCAGATCTGTTTGTGGTCGTAGTGGAGACATCAGGGAAGCTGAAGCAGCCCAACCAGCTGCAGCAGGACGACTGGAGGAGGTTGATCATGGTTTCAGTTTCCTCACGTCATTGACTCAGTGTCCTCCTTGTTTTCATGTAAAGTGACCCCACGTTGTCAGACAGACCGCCTGCAGCTCCGCTCTTCCTGCTGCTCATGTTTCACTCACTTCCCCTTCCTCGTTGGAGCGCTGGACCAACTCCGAGACGATCTGAACGGTGAAATCGAGACGCCGCAATCATCCCGTCATGTGAAAGAGCTTTGGAGAGTTTTTCCAGCAGTGGATGGATCATGACTTGTTTAATATTACATGTGGAGCTGGACTTTTAGGGCGCACTCACACTAGGCCCAGTTCACCGGCACCGCGCTGAAGCATGATTGCCCCCCCCCCTTCCCATTCCCCCGCTGGCCTGCACTCACACTGCTCCAGGACTAACCGGGCCTCAGCACGGTTACCTCTATAACATCATAATACAACACATGCATGGCTTCATGTTATCATGAAGCGTGCTTAGTTTACAAGATTTCTAACGTCCACCTAACTTTACGTTTGCTCTCGTTGCCATGGTAATGTTTGTTGTGCTTCCTGCTTTGGTCATCTTGATTCGTGATTGGCTATTGTTTTTGTTCCATAAATACAGATATACTGACACACGTATGATCCTAGTTAATCGTTATCCATGTTAACTTGGTTTCCCTCAAAGGAGTAGTATGTAACTCTGACCTCTAGTGTTTAAAATGGGTACTGCAGTCTAAATTCTAAACGTCATAGAGAGCTGTCTGCTCCCCCCAAATGGCTGTGTGGGGGGGGGGGTCACCTTAAAACCTCCTACCTTCTCTGGTCCAAACAAATCCAGAGCATTCAGGAGCAGAATCTAAAGAAGGAGGACATACTGGCTGCTTGGTCGGTATTTACTCTGACATGATAAATCTTTGCTGACTAAAAATAAGACGATGACTTATTTGATCACGTCTTGACTTCTCTTCATATTATTTTTCATTTAACATCCATACTTGGTCAGTTTCCTTGAAGTGAACTTCTTGTGTTGTTCTGTATGTTCACTCTGCTTCATTAAACACACCTTGCTCTGCATTAAACCACTCAGCGGTGGGTCTCCAGACGCCTTCACCTGCAGGCGTTTTCCTCTGATCGCCACGTTCAGAGCTTCGTTTCATTAAACATGTCTGGTCACACTTCACGCTCACACCGCGGCCGGCTCCCCCGTAGCTCCGTGCCCTAATGTGGCAGATAATTGCAGAGTCCATAATGAATGCTTTCCTCTGTAAAGGTTGTCTTGGCGACAGGCCGGTGAAGCGAGTCTTAATGAAGTTGATTAATCTGCAGACTCCCTCGGGCTGCACCTTCCAACAGAGACAAACTCCAGAGGTGTTAAGGTGACCTAACGTCGCCTGAGAGGGTGTTGGAGAGAGGTGACAGGTACCCTGGGAGTCGTGTAAAGAATCTGAGCAGAGGCTCCTGGGAAATGAAGTCCCTCATGTTCCTTTGTAGTTGATTTTCTGAGTCTGAGGAGGGAAAGGTGGCTCTTAAAAAAAGTACTGATAAAATGTAGATCTCTTTGATCCTCGTCTTTCTGTGTCGGCCTGTGTTGTCATGGGCGACACCATAGAAAGTTCTTGTCCTTGTTTTGCTGTTGTTTGTGTTGCCCTGGGTGAAGTTTGGCTTCTAATGCTGGAAGGATTTCTTCATTGATCGTCTGTCAGAGGAGTGGAAGGCTGCCGTGACCTCTGAGTCACGGTGGTCCGCTGCTCCTCCGCGTTTCTCCGCGCAGAGAAACATTGACATTTCAGCAAAGATGGTCAGGGCCATTGATCAGGGACAAACATTCACAAATCTGAGCAAACCAAAGGAAGGAATGTACGCTATGTCCACGTCAGGATGGGAAATGATATGACTTCGGTCAAACTCTGCAAAATGTCCCCGCTTAACTTTGAGTCATCCTAACGACAGGCTGAGAGCTGGAGGCGGGCTCTAAGCCATGACATGGCTAATCACACCTATTTGGTTTTTTGAACCAGGCTGTAAACATGTTCATCTCTGCTGTAAAAACAGGCTTTTTAGAATGGGTGTGTATGTGACTTCCTGTGCTTCTGCAGCCAGCCTCTAGTGGACACTCCAGGAACTGCAGGATTTTACACTTCAGCATCAGGATATACAACCACATTAAGAAAGTCAGTCTGTGAACTGAACAGAACCAAATGTTTGTCCTGTCACAAAGTGTTAAGTTAACCCAAAGAGGGGAAGGGGGACTGGGAGACTTCCCCCGCAACCCTCCTGCCATGTTGATTTTTCAACACCGGAGGTTAAAATTACTTTTTTATTTCCTTTGTGTGTGTGCAAAAGTCATATCCAGAGTCTGATAATTAGATTCAGCTCCTGGAGATCTGGTAAAAGGCTGTTCAGATCACTTTATGCTGATATTTTGGGGGTCGTGAGGACATGATAACCAGCAAAGATGGGAGCACTAGTTAGCCTAGCAGTCATGACGCATGCCCCATATACTGAGGCTGAAGCCCTCTTTTCAGTGGCTGGGGGTTCAAATCCGACCTCCACCATTTGCTCCACGTCAACCCCCAGTGTCTTTGCCTTTCATTTGACAACATCTGAAGAGAAAAGGAAATATTGGGACGGTAGACACTGGGGGTTGACGTATATTTCCTTTTCTCTTCAGATGTTGTCAAATGAAAGGCAAAAAATGTCCACTTTAGGCTGTGACTCACTGATTGGTAGTACCAGCCTTAAAGGAACGTTAATGTCAGTGAGCACAGCATTCAGACGCTCCTCTGTGGAGTCTGCAGGCTCCTGCTGGTCGCCCGCTCGGCTGCTCTGTAATTGTTCCCGCTCTGACTTTAACTTATTCACCCCACACACACACACACACACACCATCGAGCCCTGACTCATCACTTCTTATTGACTCAGACGCTGCTGTGTGTAATACTAATTCATGTCCGTCAATAGGAGGCGACCTCTCACATCGCCTATTGAATCCAAAGTAAGCCGGGATCATCTCAGACACTCAAAAAAGCTCCAGATGACTCAGCGGAGGAGAGGAGGAATATGTCTTGCAGCCGATTGCATCACCAGTTCCTGTGGTGACTTTCATAACAGTCAGAAAGTTGTGATTAAGAGCTTGCTCTGCTGGAGACATGTCAGCCAGAAATCCCTCAGACTCTCAATCCTGAGGCATGAAGCCGGCTTGCTGAAGGAGGAGAATGTGCTATATGTCTGTTTATTTTAACCTGTAGCCTACAGGAAGTGTCATATGCTGAATGGAATGACTGTGCTTTTATTCTGAAACTGGTAAAAGGGTTGTTGGATAAAATAGTCAAACGTGTTCAGAAGTTGTCTGATGGTGAGAGAAAAGTCTGAAAATCTGTGCATGAAAGAATCGATAGGTGTGCAAGCGTACAGTTTGTGCACGATGTGAAGGTGAACTCATGCTCTCACTGAATGATCTGATGAAGTCTCAGGAGGAAACCATCTGTCCTAATTGTCACGTCTTTGTTGTTTGTTGCAGGAGTTTGTGGCTGCTGTGGGCCGCTGAGGCCGAGGTACAAACGCCTGGTGGACAACATCTTCCCCGAGGACCCGAAAGTAAGTAACTCATCTTTCATTATATTCATTTCATTATTATTTTGGTATTTATGTTCTCACTCTGCGGGCATAAGCAGCGCCAATTCACGACAACTGTTATCTTGAGACGCTTTACAAAAGAGCATTGGTTGAGGAAGCACAGCAGGAGCCACACACACACACACACACACACACACACACACACACACACACACACACACACACACACACACACACAGCGCTGTGCTCTGACGCTGACTCAGCTGATCCTCTCTCCTCTGTAACGCCTCTGTTACTACCTCTAAAGACAGTACAGGGGGGATCACTCTGCGACATTCAGACTGTAGGTGAAACGTCACAGGGCTGTAAATATCACGGTTCCTTTGAGACTCGGAGCAGTCACAATTTTAGCCTTTAGCAGCGTGTTAACCCCGTGTTCTCCAGAGAGCTCAACTCCGATATAATCAGACAACCCCAGAGACACACAAGAGCTTCAGTCGTCTGATAAACCTGCTAATTAAATGTGACACGACCTCAATAACAGGACCATGACAACATATTATCACCTGTTAGGATTCCTTAACCTCTGTTAATTAAAACGTTAAATATGCACCTATTGGTCCAATACACAAGAGGGTTGTCTTATTCATTTATTTCTCGTAAATCTCTCACCCATCCTCTAAATATTTCCCCCAAGAGCCTTTGGTGTAAGCAAACAGGGCGGTGGGGTGGGGGGGGAACGCTAGAATGGTCGAGACCTTGTCAGATTAATTATCGCTCGCTGAGAGCCCGAGGAGCTGGAGACACTCGGGGGACAGACGGTCTCAAATTAACTCCCTCCTCTTTACGTACGACACCTGGAGGCATCACTTTTTTTATATGGACGACAATGAAGTTCACAGAGTGTCCTTTAGAAGTTTACAAACATGCAACAAGTCTTAACATACATTTTGACTTCTGTGGTTTGTTTTTAGAAGAAATGAAATGAAACGGAATCTCTGTAGTTTGACTTGTTTGGTATATTTCTAATTATATGAAGATATTATGAGTCTCAAATAAAGTAGGTAGGTAAGGACAAAACCCGAGAGGAGTGGACTAAATCATCATCCTGATGGGGTAATGCAGATGTGAGGAGACAATCATGCAAGCTATATTCAGATTTAGATTTGACAGTTAAAGTAGAGGAGAGAGAGTGAGGGAGCACACACACACGACGACAGGCAAACTGTTATAGTGAGTGGTAAACAACGAGACGACCAACTCAGCGCATAACACACTAACCGACTCATTCAGTCTCAACAAACGTGATTTAAGAGTAAACAAACATGATGGCTAAGTTTAATGTGGCTAGCTGTTAGCTACTTGGTACGTCCGTTTTGGTCCAGCTCCTGTCCTTGTCAGTTGTGTTTTGTTGAACAGACATGTTGTATGAACTCTTGTGTTGTTGCCACAAATCAACAAGTTGGTCCTCCGTTTCTTTACTTTATTTTGAAGGTTTATTTTTTGGCTCTTTACGCCTTTATTTTGTGATTGGACAGTGCATAGATTGAGAAATCAGGGAGAGAGAGAGAGCGGGGAGTGATTGTGATCCCACAGGTGGGATTCAAACCCAGGACGCCCGCTTGGAGGACTATAGCCTCTGTACATGGGGCGCGCCCACCAACCACTTGGCCACGGGCTCACCGGTTCCTCCATTTCTGACGTCCACCTAACTTTACGTTCGCTCTCGTTGCCATGGTAATGTTTGTTGTGCTTCCTGCTTCGGTCATCTTGATTCGTGATTGGCTATTGTTTTTGTTCCATGTGACGATCCACAGAGTCCGTGCTCGGACGTTCTCGCTGTTCTCTGCAGATAACTTGTTGCAGTGTGTACAAAAAGCAGCATGTTCATTGGCTGTTACTTTTCAAAGGAAGCTGTCACTCTCTTGAAGCTCTTTGGAAAAATCTGACTTCCTTTTAGGCACGACCGCTCGCCTACCTGTCGTTATGCTCTAGGTCCTGTTAGCATGATAAGCTAGGCTAGCTAACTAACAGCTGATTGATTGATTGACACATGAACAGACAAACCAGTGTTGAACTTTGACACCTGGTGCGTTAGTGATGTTTTTCTGTTTGTTAAAACAGCAGCAGCCTTGGCAACGACGTTGACAGAACAGTGTTGTTAGCATGGTGTGTTGTTTTGGTTGGTTAATATGAGGACAGGGACCGTTCAAAACCGGGACGTATTAGAGTTTTCTAGATATTTGTGGGGAACTGAAAACGGAACGTCCCAGTCAAATGGGGACATTTGGTCCCCCTAAGTTAAAAACCATCCAGATCAATGAATAAACATTGAAGAAAAGGAACTCTCTCCGTACACTTTTCTTTTAACCCTGTGAATCTGTCACGTCTGGTCGTGTCCCTCAGGATGGCCTCAGTAAATCAGACATGGAGAAGCTCACCTTCTACGCTGTGTCGGCTCCGGAGAAGCTGGACAGGATCGGAGCGTACCTGGCCGAGAGGCTGAGCAGAGACGTGGTGCGACATCGCTACGGGTAAGTCACACCTTACTTTGAACAACTTCAAAATGTGAAGATTATTTTTCTTGTGTTGACCGTTGCACTCCCTGAAAACAAAACTATCTGTTTAGATTTTATAAAGGATAAGAGTCACCATGTATTCATGTGGGACAGACGAGTGTCGGAGAGGGAAAATGCTCATGAACTCCTGCTCAAGTCGGAACAACAACTCGAAGCTCGGGAAAGAATTGGTGCCCGACTTGACGTCATATTGATCGTCACATGGGGGGCAGAAGATGTTTTGTCAATGTTGAGAAACTTTTTCTTAATCCACTTATTTCACATTAACTTTCAGCTCAAATAAAACTCCTAGCGTCCTCGCTGTTTGTTGTTACTCTCCCAACCTGAAAGAACGTGAACACACTAAGTTTGAGGAACAACTTCCCAATTGGGTAACAAGGACCATCTGAGGAGCACTTGAATGCAGCGTCATTCACAATAAGGCGTGTAGCTGACATGATTGACAGGTGGGCGTGGTGTAACGGTTTGTCAGGAGGTTTAAAACCCGCCTCAGCTCCAGCTCTCAGCCTATCGTTAGGCTGACTGAAAGTTAGGCTGAGACAGCATTTCCAGCATGGAGACCGCCATCGATGGGACTCCAGCGCCCCCTGCAGGAACAGCTGGGTCACCCAGGTTGCGCCTGTTAATATTTACAGTTATGGTTTTTACCAAAGCTTGCAAAAAGAAGTAGAAGATTTGTGAATCTATAACCACATTGGGCACAATGAAACTTGATGGGGAAACAGACAGTACATGAAGTAGTCACTTACAGTAACTTACCGTAAACAAACAGCATCATTAACTGGTGAATCCTCCTCCTCGATCCCCTGGAGACGAAGCACAAAGATCCCAGTGTAACAGAGTTAAATCAAGTTTAAAATCACACAGCGAAGGAGGCTCTCCTCAGAATGGTCTTTACCACATTACAAATCTCGTTGCTTCACATTTCCCTGAACCGTTTTGAGCCTTCTGCTCCTCGAACGTAATTAAAACGAGTTGAGAGACAAAAGTATCCCTAATGTATTTTCTAAAAGGCAAAATTTGCAGCACCAAATCAATGCAGTGATTATAACGTCAGAAGTGGTGTTTAATTGGCTGTGACTTTAACTCCCCGAAGCCGAAATTCAGAGAACAAACACATCCCTCTCTCGCTCTCTCTCTCGCTCCATCTGTAATCGTCCATGTGCTGTGACCAAACCATTTGGCATCGCTTTAAAAAAAACACTCCGTCCACGACAAAGTGTCACGTCCGTATGCTCGTGTTTGTTATGTCACTCAAATCCCAAACCTGTCGTTAGATTTTGCGAGGCTTGTTGCCTCCCAGATGGACCGAGCTGCCCGCATACGAGTGATGAGTCCATTCGAGCTGTAATACATTCATGCCATTAAATAAACATCACACACACACACTGTCCATTTGGTCCACAATAACAACCTGCATGAACTGTATTTCTGATGTTCTAATCATCCAGAATAACTCTGCTCAGACTGCAGGCTGTAGATTTGAATCAGAAGAACAACAAAGAAGGTTTGAATTTGTCTGAACCTCTCAGTTTGTTTACATTTCAGAGGAATGTTGTCAGCAAGTACAGACAAAAATGCTTCTGCAAACTACAACCAATCAGAGCATCAATAGGCTGCTTGGATGCATAGCTGGTTCCAACATCCATTTCATAAGCCTCCATCCATTCGTCCATCCATCGATTTTATGTCGGCTTATTGGAGGACGGGTCGCGGTGGCAGTCGACTCAGACAACTTTCTCCCAAGCAACATTTTCCAGCTCCTCCTGGGGGATTGTAGACATAGAGCCTAGACATCCTTTGGAGGAGTCTCATTTCAGCCACTTGTATCCATGATCTTATTCTTTGGGTCACTGTCACAGCTCATGACCTCAGGTTAGGGTTGTAACATGACATTAACAAGTCAACTCTTGGCTAATGCTGATCCCATTCACACATATTCACAGGCCCCCGACAAAACAGCAGGAGCAACTTGGGGTTAAGTGTCTTGCCAAAGGACACATCGTATATGTTGGTTGCAGGAGCTGGCGATCGAACCCCTGACCTTCTGGTTGAGAGACGACCGACTCTACCAACTGAGCCACAGCGTCGATTTATTTTACAGCCAGCGAGATAGTGACATCCATTACAACATGAATATTACAAAACAGATGCAACAGTACAATAAGAGAAGGAAAACTATTTATCAAAACATGATGAAAGTGTTCCAAGGTTCCACCAATCAAGGCATAGTAGAGAAAGAAATATAAAAAAATACAGCCAATCAAAATCTCAAGTGAATAACCTCTTGAATTAAGCAACAACAGTGGAACTCGAGCACTGAAGGCATTTCTTTTTACTGTCTTTAAAGAATTCATATCCCAAGAACAACTTCATTTTTAACACAACAAAAGTTTAAAACTCTGAACGTTCATTTTTGAGATATTTCCATGTGTCCTGGCAGAGTGCTGCATGCCTCAGATGTTAAAACACTTCCTGTCTCAGAGCAGCTCAGGCCTCGATGATGATTCCCTCCCGTCCTCTGTGCAGGTACGTGGTGATCGCCATGGAGGCTCTGGACCAGCTGCTGATGGCCTGTCACTCTCAGAGCATCAAACCCTTCGTGGAGAGTTTCCTGCACATGGTGGCCAAGCTGCTGGAGTCCAGAGAACCAGACCTGCAGGTTCTGGGAACCAACTCGGTGAGACTAACTGTTTATGAAATCTTGGTTTCCATCAGGATACTGGTGTCAGGGACGTTTTCAACTTGACTCGGATTTAAAGGAAAGACACAATATTGAACTTCTTCTAAGCAGACATGCAGAGTAATAATGAACAACACACAAAAATGGACTTCAGCTTGTAGTTCTTTTGTAGTCTTCTGACTACTCAAAGGGCTTTTACACCGCAGGTCACACCTACACATTCACACACTGATGGTAGAGGCTGCTGAGTAAAGAGTCCATCAGTATTAACTCATCCATTCATACACATTCACACTGATGGTAGAGGCTGCTGAGTAAAGAGTCCATCAGTATTAACTCATCCATTCATACACATTCACACGCTGATGGTAGAGGCTGCTGAGTAAAGAGTCCATCAGTATTAACCATCCATCATCCATTCATACACTGATGGTAGAGGCTGCTGAGTGAAGAGTCCATCAGTATTAACTCATCCATTCATCACACACTGATGGTAGAGGCTGCTGAGTGAAGAGTCCATCAGTATTAACTCATCCATTCATACACATTCACACACTGATGGTAGAGGCTGCTGAGTGAAGAGTCCATCAGTATTAACTCATCCATTCATACA